AACATCTGTTTCAAAGTTGCAACAAGAACACCCCATTTAGCTGTTTTCCAACACAAGCCATATGAATAATAGGCTACAGTTGGGTCATATACCAACAGTTCAGGTTAATGCTGTTCCATTTGTGAAACATACTATAATCCAGCCAAAGTTAAATCAATGGGACTTAAAATGGCTGACTTATGGCCAAACTTTATTCCAATAAAATCACTCAGTCTAAACAGTGCTTAACTATGGCTGGATTAAACCCTTCATTTTCAAAAGGTTGTGTGGGTATCAGAAGACTAGGGATGAAACCCCCAACCTAACTAATTTCCATTTATTCCAAAATTATGCTACTGCAAATGTAATAGCTTTGAGCATGCTTTTTATTTTACCCAATGTTTCACAGACTAGCAGAAACTGATTCCTGCATATAGCTTTCCCTAAGAAAAAGGTACGGCATATTTCATCACATCTATGTGAAAAACACCACCTATCATAGAGTGTCAGTTAAGCTACTGTAGCATTTAACATTCAAGGTAAATTTCTTTCAGACCACTCTTTTTCTAAACCTAAAGCTCCCCAGATCCAGTATTAAAAGTTATTATTCACATGAGGTCCCACTGCCCTGTCCTTGGCAACCAATGTTCTTTGAAAAAAATTCAAATCACAACTTTCTCTTCTTCCCAAGAACTGTAAGCAGCCAAAGTGAACTGAATACACTTTTCAATGCTAATTACATTCCCATTGATTAAGAAGGCACATATCTGTATATTTTCTGCTAACTCTTTAAAACAATTACTTTATGTAAAATTAGAGACATAGGCACTTTGGATTGCTCCAAAGCACAACTCATGAAACCTGAAGGTTTCACATCAGATTCTGTTCCTGAGGGTCCCCAACACTCAGAAGCAGCTGGTGTGTGGGGGTACCCAGTGGCTATATATGGAAATGGGGCAGATGTTCTACAAAGGGAAGCGTTCTTGGAATTCTTAGGATCCCATCCCTCAGCTATACGAATAGCTTACATAAAAATATTTAATGCTAAGCATGCAACTTGAGATTTTTTCCAGAACATTCTGTAATCAGCATTTACTGAATAAGCAGCCTGTTCTTATAGCCAAACTGTTGATCACAGAAATACAACCTTGCATGGACAGAATTGTCAATTAGTTTTCATTCTGCTTTGTTAGATTTATTGCTATTTATATTTCCACAGTATAAGGGACTATTTATAAAATTATTTAAACACTGGGCACATTTCGCCGATTTCTTAGTAAATATAAGCAAGTCATCGTAAAATAAAATGAAAATTTTCTATAACACACCACTATTAAAACCAGACTACTTTTCTCTTTGGAGATGTCAAAAGATAAAACTAGAGCATTTTGCAAAATACCATCTTGAAGTTCTATTGCAAAAATCCCAATACTTGTGTTTTTTAAACACAAGTTTAAACACAAGAACTTATTTTTAAAAAAAGCCTATTAAGGACTCTAATTTGCTGCATTATATTAAAACTGTGGGCATGTAGTTACAGCAACTATACAAATCTTTGAATGCTGACAAAGGCGCCTTTTATTAAAAGGATTTTGAATCCAAACAGGCCCACACAACTTAATTTTATAAAAACCATTTCAGAGGAAGGCAGCCCTGTAGCAAATACTTTTGCAAAGGATTGGTTTAGGCAAAGCTCAACATGTTTAAAAAAGGAGCAGATGTTCAGTTCACAGTCAAAGGCTCCAGGCAAAACCGTCTCTACAGCAGTGTCCCTATAAAGTGATACTCCTGCGTTTTTCACGTACACGCTTTAAAACATACAAAATGTTTATTTTTCTTTCAAAACTTGACCAAGCCACCTTATATCTCATATGATGAAATGGCCACCAAGTAGCACAGCATGATGAGAATGCGTAAATATATTTACAAGCTTTTATCAATTAAAAACTGCTGCTTTCACATCTTCTTCTCCCCCACCCCAAAAAACATGTTTAAAAGAGCAAAAGTAACAGATACCTGGATAAAAGGGCCTATTTTCTTCTACTTCTCTAAAGCCCCATGTCGCAGCAAAAAATAATAGCACAAATAAAACTAGCATTCTGCAATACTTCCTTTGCGCAATCATCCATTCCTCATCACAAAGTCACATTAGTGCAAGCAAGAGGCTGGTCTTTCTATTGGAGCACACACAGCTTAAAACAGACAGTTGTGAAAAACATTTAAAATATGCAATACAGAAATTTGGGATGGTGCACCAAATACTCACCAGTAGCTATATTTTCTCTTTCCATTCAACATTTTAAGGCTCCCCGATGCTTTACTTTTGAAAATTAAAAAATTACAGCACACCTTAAAATGGCCACATTGCTTAGTTCGCAAAAACCAGGCTTAATAGCAAATAATGAGGATAATGATTCAAAGAAGGAACAAAAAAAGAAGAAGAATCTCTCCAAACAATAAAGCATAAAATATCCATGCTGGCATCTTCAATCATGGAGCAACCCTGGGAAGTTGGTTGCCGATTCTCTGAAGCAGATGCAGCAAGAAATTCTGCCACATTCTTGCCTGCTGAAAGGTTTCTCAGTTACAGCAGATTAGAACAGGCTAACAAGCAGCAGCCTCCCAAATGAAAGCTCTGAATTCTTCTTCTGCAGTGAAATGAACCAAGTTTCAGTGCTAAACAGTGAGTGACAGTATTGCCAGCCAATCAGCTTGGGTTTTGCAGGAAAATCACCCCTTAATTCATTCAAAATTAGGTCATCTGACACTATTTGAAATGCTATTGGCTTAGAATGAGCATAGTGTTTTAGCCTAATCAGGAAAAGGCCACCCATCTATGCCTTCTCTTGGATTTAAGATATCCTTGACTGCATTACATGCTGTGGATATTTAAGGGGGGGAAAGGGAACACAGACTTACCAGAGCTTCCCAACTATTAAAGGGACGGAGCTCTATTATCCTTTGAGCCTTTTTTTGGGAACACTGTGGGATCAAAGTGAGTTCGCCCAGGGAAGCCTCTTGAAAGAAACTAAGTATTTTAGTTTTGTAACCATCTTCCATCACTTCTTCCCCACCGCCGTAGTCCTCATCGAGGGAGCTCCCAGCTTCTGAGGCTGATTCATATTCTGAGTCTTGTGAGTCCTTTTTAGTAGTCCAGATTTTTTTCTTTTTATCTTTTTTCCTGAAACCATTCTGAGATTTTGTGGAAGGTTTCTGTTTGAGCTTGACGTCGGCGTCGTTTTGTTGATGGTTAGTGTTAATTGTTGGGACTCCCTTTCCGTTTGAAACTTCACTTTTGGAAGGATACTGTGTATCTGTGTGTACAACATTTAACAAAACAAAGATTCAGAGAAGTGACGCGTAGGAAGCAAAGAATACGGAAAACCTACGAAGTGCCCATCTCTATCTTCTGGAACGCATTTTGATTTACTCACACTGAAACATTTTGCTATTCTTTGGCAGTTTTCCCAAAATCATATTGAATTGCTTAATGAGAAGAAAATCACAGCAGAATGTTGCACAGTCCCATTTAAAAGCCTAAATATTATTATCACTAATCCTGAACAGACTAGACATTTACTCCCAATTTCTCTCTGTACCTCATCTGGTTAGATTGGAGTGTTATTAACTAGCCATTGTTTAGGAAAAAAATAACTGTTACATAAGTCTTCTGTCTTGTCTACAAGACAATTTGGTGACAGATTAAACATAAAAAGTTACTCAGCATCTGAATGTATTTTAACACATTGATCATACAGCAATATTCAATCAGCCAGGGTACTCCTGAATTAGCAAATCAATAATCTCCTGACTTTTCCTGTAACCATACATTTTTAAAAACATCGGGGTCCTGCAATATTTTTAGTAGCAATAACCTTTATATGTTGTCGAAGGCTTTATATGTGCACACCTTTTTAGCAGTTACTTAAAATACTTTTATATTCCATAGTTTCTCAGTAGTAATAAGTATTTTTCACAGGGCACAATGACAGAATTCAACTTTATAACAAGAATTCAATGCAAAGCTGTGGATGCCTTTTAGGAGCTCTGCCACTGCAAGTGGGCCCTGTATTTCAGCCAAGAGAAGGAAAGTCAGATTAGCAGTTTCACCAACTGCTGAACTATATTAAAGGTACACTTCTACAGATGTAACTGAAGCGCAGGGAGACAATTAGTAGACTTGCAACTGCACATTGCTTTAAGTCAAGCAGGTTATTCTCACTATTGGTAATGTGCGTGGAATGCCCCCCATGGGTCAATCACACAATACATAAAATAGGAGTGAAGGGAGTTCCTGTGTTTTTAGGAGAAACAATTACTGTAGTACATTTCATGGCAAACAACCAACACTAGGATCTAAAAAAACATAAGCCTGAAAAAAACTTTTGACTTTTATTTCTCAAACAACAACTCCCCTGCTTTTACAACCTGCTTTTGGAATAGACCAGAATTGGAGGGGAGAGAAGGAGTAGTCTGCTATTAAAGAAAAATAATAAAAAAATATATCTGGGTTTTGGGAGTTTTTTTGTGAGCCTGAACTCCGCTTTGACCTCAAAATCACTTTTGAATGCACAGTAATCCACGAAGCAATTTGTTGAAAGAACTCGAGAGTTCATCTCTTATCTATAGCTGTTTTCTAGCTATGTATATTTAAGGTATTCAAACCTACTTCCCTTCCTCCAACACTCTTCAGTGTACCCATTTACTACTTCAATCATGCTGCTATAAAACCACATGTACACTTTTGCATGGGTTTGCACTTAAGAAATGTATAAAAATATATTGTGCAAATGAATCCATGGCGCCAAGGAGAAAAATCACCCTGTTGCCTACTGCAAATCATTTCAGGTCCTGCTATATTGCTAGGTAAAACAAAGCGCTGTAGAATAAAAGCACTTCACATCGAGTTCTGCAAACACAGAGGTCCCCAAAACCTGGGGGAGGGGGATTTAGGAGCAACCTCTAACACAGCATAGGAAGGGGAGGCACCAATATGCAGCATGTGTGGAAATGCCTGCACCAATGTTCCCTCTAAACTGTGGAGTCTTGTGAGCAAAAATTTGACTCTGAGCTACTGGCATTAAAGTTGTGAGTGAGCGATTTGGCTGCTGCATAAATTAGTTGGCTCTGGAGCCATCCTTCCCGAGCTAAGACAAAAATGTGTGAGCTGGAGGCTAAAAAACTGTGAACTAGCTCACACTAACTCAGCTTAGCGGGAACACTGGCCTGCACATGGCTAAAGATGCTCTTCAATACACGTAAGTCTACAATTATAAAGACATTCATCTGGAAGAACCACATTGTATTGCTGACACATTTCCTATGAAGATATTCTAGTATTTTTATGAAGAAAGCTTAATAAAAATATACTAAAAAAAAGATATTCTAGTATTTTTCAGTACTCTTAAAAAGCAGTACTTTTAATCATGGCTGCCTAACTTTGAATCCACAGTAACATCAAATTGCTATCTGGCAAGCATGAGATTTTTTGGAAAAGTTGAATTAAGGTTTTCCATGTTCTCTAACAATTGTTCTTATGCTTCATTCAATTTAAAAAAATCAACGCAAGAAATATTATGCTGAACAAAAGAGCTGTAAAGAAGCTGTTGGTGGTATCTGCTAGCTCTCTATTAGACAACAGATGAAAGATTACATAGGCTGAAGTAGACGTGACCCTCAACAATAAATTGAAACTAAAAGTGCCTTTTAAACTTCAACAATATCACTCCCAAAATTCAGAAGGCATAGTTCCTGAAGTGCTCTGTAAAGAAAGAGGTGGTACGCTGTTTTGGCCTAGACTTATTTTAAAAAAGGACTGCAAGGTGGAGTCCATGAAGAATCTCAAGAATCTCAAGGGGGTGGACCATAATAAAGAGCTCAACGGCAGAGACAAAGGCTAAACTGTTCGCCTAGCTCTGAACTTCAGCAGTCTAGCACCATAACACTATCTCACTGTCAGTCTTACAGGGCTGCTGCTGACTGCTGAGATTTAATGCTAAACCAGAACATGAGTGACGCAACACAGGGAGCATTTTTACAGCTCCCCACTCCATGCTGTATGGGTATAATTGGGGCTGTTTTATTCTTTTTGCCCTGAACTGGCAGTCAATCACCCTCAACAGGCTACAGCTTGTAGATACCCATTAGTACTAAACATGCCATTTTGAAATTTTTAGCTTAGAAATATTTTTATGTTTGCCTGTGAACAGAGATGTGAAAGTTTGGAAGAACCCAGTAAAACAGGAAGGGGGAGAGTAGGGGGGCTTGTTTGTTTTCTTCCTTGTGGATTTTTAGTTTTTTTCCCCAACTAGAAATTTGGGGAACATTTAAAAACAATGAAATGTTTTCTCTTTTGGAATGAGTGGAATTTTTTAAGACCAGCCGGTAAAAAGTGTATAATATGAACATTCTTATGCGAGACAATCGACCGCATTAGAGAATGACAAGCCTGGGATTCATGAAATCTCACAGGGGAGGGCATATTAGACTCCCCCCTTCCCCGACTGGTCCTCAAGACTCCTGCTATGATGAGCAGTGGCTGGGGGCAGAAAGAATACTTGCTTTCAAGCTCTCCCCCATGTTAATGGATGCTGCTGGGCTTGGAGAAGAAAGTGTCAGACCCCCCACTGGGTTGTTCACAGCCTCAGAATCATCAGAAACAAAGCCTGGGGAACCAGGAACACTGCCCAAGGAACAGCAGGGGAGTCAGGGAGACCTCTGCACTATAGTAGCCCTCACAGCCCCTGGCCATCAGCCCCAGGGGCTGACTCTGAGAAGCCTGCTGCTGAAGCCTCACCAGCAGACCCTCCAGCTGCCCTCCCAGATCCTGGGACAGTTATGTGCCACCCATGAGAAACCAGGGCCTGGACCGCTCGTCCCCCATGATTCTTCCCCACCTGGCAGGAACAGTGAAGGCAGCAAGTTTGCATCGAGGCAGCTGAGAGAAAATGCAGTACCAGGCTAGCAGGTCAAGTTCCAACCAGTGAGCCAGACTGTTGTGCTTTAGGTGACAAACCCCTGCAGGATTCTGGCGCCATTAGGAACCAGCCAGGCGAATTCCATAAGCGGCCTTCAGAACAGCTGGGGCTGCTCTCCCCATCAACCTATTTAAGCTGAGAGCTGGAGCTTTGCTGGATCAACTGGTTTGGAAGACCACAAACCTTGTGCTCCAGACCTTGCCTGTTCTAGCCCTCCAGACCATGTCAGACCATAGTCAGGCAGATAAGTCACTGCTCTTGAGGAGCAAAGCATAACCTGGTATCAAAATATGCTACTAGATCTACTGGCGGGCTAAGTGTTTCTGTCCAAATAATATATTTCTCTTTATTAAAAATCTGTGTTTCCCATTTTCAATTTTTTCCTACCACTCAGTCATTAAAAACTGAGGTTTGCACAATACTGTAAGTACAGAGTGGAGTGGTTTTCAGCTTTCTCTCTCCAGTATCAAGAATATTCACAGTTTTGCTCATAGAAAAGATACCCAAACTTTTAAATTTAATGAACAGAACAAATAGTACAGTTTTATATACTAAGTTATAAGTGATACATTTTATACTGTTAAAGCACTAAATTAAGTTTTGGTTTTATATTGAAACTAGGCACAAGGCCTGTTGCGGGAAGAGAGGCAACAGGCCCTAGAGAGAGGCCGCCGGAGGCCCCCCCACACACACACACTGGCAAAGGAGAGCACGGTGGGTCCACAGTGGCCAGGCTCACGCCTCCCCCTGCCACGCGCTGGAGGCAGCGGGGCAAGCCAGCCGGCCTCGTCCCTCCTCTGTCAGTGCGGGCGGGGAGCCTCTGAGCAGCTTCTCCTGGGTGGAAGGGCAGGAGAACCCAGGGGGAGAGCCTGAAAGGGCTCCCTGGGCCCCTGCTGGCTCGATGGCCTCGGCGGCTGGGCCAGGATGGGGTGGGGGGGCTCTGGCTGAAGAACTAATGGGTTGGCACAGCTGCCTCCCCCCTCCGCGAGCGCAGCCAGGGCCGGCTGAGGGAAACCCCCCCAGTCCCCGAAGGGCGCGCAGCTTCCCTGGCCCAGGCTATGCCGGGCGAGGGAAGCGCGACACGGCCGCCTTGGCACCTCTCACCTGCCGCAGTCTCGTCCATCTCTCCACTGGCCGCTTGCCGCCCGTTCCAGGGCCTCGCGGGCTAAGGCCGCGAGGCTTGTCCCCCCCCCCCAGCCAATGGCACGCCAGTTATCCCGAGTGGTAGCCGACGGGCAAATGGTTGAGGGAGTGCATTTTTTCTTGCCACCCCATAGGACGGTGGCCACCCCAAAACACAATTATTATAAGGAGAGATATGCAAGCAAATCAGGAAAGAACTAGTCCTTTTTGTGAACAAATCACTTAAAAATATGCATCACAGCATGAAAAGGACGAACTGTGAAGGGATTTCCTATCTTTTGGTTTTTAATGTGTATGTTTTTGCACATAGGTCTGCTTTACCCAAGATCCCCAAATGCTAGGTTCAGTGCCCCACACTTGTAGCTTCTCTCTCCCCCATGAATGTGTTCAAACTTCCCACAGACTGCTGATCAGATCTTCCAGTTACATTCTGTTCTAAAGAGCAGGAGGAAGGGCCAAGATTTGATTGTAAAATCCTCACTAACAGGTTTTCATGATCATCTCCAATTTGTTCCTTAACTTTTAATCCTCCTCCATAAAGTCCTCAATGGTAAAGGAAACATTTACATTTCCATATTCAGATCTCACATAATCTTTACCCCTATTTAAAACTCTATCTATGAATTACTTAAAACTAGGTGTGAGAATCTCAATGGACTGGGACAGGTAAAGCATATTAGAATAGTAAAAAAGAAAGATTTGTACTTCTTAGGATAAAAAGCAAATGCAGTAATATTGAACACATTTTACCCTCTTGATCTTCCATAAATACTTTTAACGAATCCAGAGCTTCCCGAAATATCCAGTTGTGTTCCCGAAGCACATCTCTCAGCTCCTAGTCAAGGAAAAAAACCACACAAGAAATCCTGTATAACTCTGACTTAATCGATACCCTGCAGTCACATTGACTCACTTTAAATATTTTTGAATATTCTACAATTGCACAGTCATTTATGCATATTAAAAAACAGGGAAAGGTACTTGATGAACACAATGTAATTACAACTATCCAGTACAAAACCCCTCCTTTCCAAATGCTGTCTAATAATTAACATTTAATCTATTTCCAGCAATGCCAAAATATACTGGCTCCAAATGCCATAATTCAGAATGTGACCAAATTCCACTGTGATAACAATTTTCTGTTCTAGTTCACAATGGGAACTAGGAGTTCACTGAATTTTTAACTTGACTGCTTTGTTAATAACTGAATTTCATAAGAAAACAAGATGCCTTCTTATTCTTCTTCCTCTCAAATCAGCTTGCCAAGTAACACACTATACTAGGCATTTTTGATTAAAAGAGTTAATAGAAAAAGATTAAGGTAGGACGGAGTCTGTTTCCCTGGGCAAGATCATGTGTTACTGGGTTCTAACCTCCATGGCAGTGGTCTAAGGTCCAAATAGAAGAGGAATACACACTATGACAAAAACACCTTATTTGCCGAAAAAATGTGCGCGGGGGGGGGGGGGGAGATAAAGTGGTGGAACTGACCCACTTTGGCTGCCTTCTACACCATTCTTTCCTTTGCAAAGAATTATAATACACAAAAGTAACTATGGTAATAGCTACAATTTGTACCTTGCATATAATGTATTTATAGCTTTTGCATGAAAGCTACACAAAGAATATATTTTGTGCAAAACATGACACATATGAAGCTGCCTTATACTGAATCAGACCATCAGCCCGTCCAGGTCAGTATCGTCTACTTAGACTGGCAGTGGTTCCAGGCAGAGATCTTTCACATCACCTACTGCCTTTTTGAACCGGAGATGCTGGGGAGTGAACATGGGAGCTGCATGCAAAGCAAAGACTTCCACTGAGTAACAGCCCCTTCCCCTCTTTACATACCTCTTTATTCAAGCTGGGAAATTCATTGTGCAGTTTGGTAACCAAGTCCTCACGCCTTTCCCACTGGTTCTCAGGACTTTCCAACTATGGTTCAAAAGACAGATTTTACATTTCATCTAACTTCTTGTCAGAAGCAGAAAAGACGGTCCTATGAATCTCACCATGCACATACACCCTTTGTCAAAGTAACGTGCAGCTAATCATATAACAAAATACGGCTTAACTTCGGTAGTTTGAATGTGTCAGCTACATGCAACAGAATACCAAGTCAGTTAATAATTGGAAAACAAGAAGATCATTTTAATTAGGAAGAAATTTTATCGCTGCAGACCATGGCCATGGATTAAAAGGCATTAAGAAAATACAAGGCCTAAAGCACGGATCCATGTTAATACATTGAATAAATTAAGCAGCTGGCATCTGTTGGAGACTCTCAAGTCTATAAATGACTTCCTCAGATGTAGAAAACAAATATTCTGAAAATACCTTGCGATGCAATGGTCTTTATTAATAGCTTCATACAAAACAATGATTATCACCACTTCCTTATTCAGCTTGTGAAAATTCAACTGGAACCCATAAGTGGCTACCAGTTCTAGATACTGAGTACTGCCTCATTTTATCATGGCATATCTAAGTCCACAACCCCCCTCTCATCTCATTTATACATACTAGCATTTCTTTGTGAGCCTTGAACCATCCATTCGGATCATATCGTTATTTACTCTGGAATTCAATAGAGGAGAATC